TATTCTAAACAATGTTTCTAAAGTCTAAACGCTCTAAAAGAGCACAGAATGTCATGATTTCAGCTCCCTGCCTCCTCTGCTCTTTGCCACCTGCAAGTGCTCTCGGCCACGCCCACTTCTCAGCTCTGCACGGTGAACAGCTGCTCAGCTGCAGCAGGAAGTTTATCCTGCAGTAAGGGCTGCACAAAGGTGCAGGAGGAAGCTTTATCTGCAGCTCTGGGCTGTACAAATGTGCAGCAGGTGGTAAATAATTTAAAAATAATTCATTTCAAATAAAAATTCCATGGCAATCGTGCGGCTCATCCATCTAACAGCCAATTGTGTGTCTTGTCCAATCTTATTTTGAAAAACCGCAATAAAGCGAGTCCACGATAAACGAACCGTGAAGTAACGAGGGACTACTGTATACCAAAAATCATCCAAAACAAACCAAAAACCTATTCTTGGTAACCCTTTTTCTACTCACATTTTTTATAGACGTTTTAAGTTGTAAGCAAAAAAAAAAAAGAAAAACAAAAAAGAAAAACCCGGACATGAATTTCATTACAAAGCTCAATTTTCTTCTCTTTTTTGGATGTTGATCAGGACTCAGGAAAAGCAAAACATCACGTTCTACATGAAATCAAAAGATTAATGTTTTAAGTTTCTTTATCCTTTAGATCTGATGCAACTCTTTTTTGACGATCTAAACATTTTTCTACACAAGCACACTTGAAAATGTTTTTTTCATTTTTATTTTTCACTTGAATTCATCTTAAACGCTACAGAGCACAACTTCCCAACCAAGATTCTCAATGTTTTTATGTTTAGAATACCAGTTTTAAAAGATATGGATACTTAAAACGTTTTCTTTAAATTATACTTGGAATAAGATTTTTTTTTCCACTTTTTTTTCTTAAAAAAAAAAAAAAAGACATTTGGGGTTTTACTGTGTAAAAAATACTTGGAGATGCTTTTAAAAAGACAATGTCCAAAAACATTTCTCACCATGTCAGCCATAAAGTCGGAAGATAAATCAATTTTGTCGGCCGTAGCAAATTAATTCACATTTTGTTTTGTGCTTCCATAGAAATTCATTTATTGCATTTCAATCATTACATTATAAGACAAGTAATCACTAGTTCTACACATAAATGTAGTACCTTTTCTTCCTGTCTCTCTCTCTAGATGCTCTTCCTCTTCATGATGAGTCACGTGTTCAAATTCATCTGAGATTTGATGCTCTAATGTGTCAACGTGCCCATTATCAAAAAAGAAAAATTAGACATTGCTTATGGTTTCAAATTTGCCATTAACATGTCTGTCTGTCCTTCCATCCATCCTTCCATCCATCCATCCATCCATCCATCCATCCATCCATCCATCAGGGCAACAGTGCTATCACTACGCCAACCCCACCATTAGCTCCCACATCTAAAACATCTACCTGAGGTTTTGTGGCCATGAGTTCCATGTAAGTGTTTTTCAGGCTTATGGAAATCTGAGGAGCAGTATTGATTAAGACTATAATATTCACTTTGAATAGTTTTGCTTGACAAGCTGAAATATTTGTATGCATTCTGATCCGAGGTTATAAATGAGTTACAATGCTTCTAACAGCTAAATATAAAGCTGATACCTTTTGTTTCAGTTGTTCTATGTGGATGGTCCTCATGCTCGTGCTCAGTTTGTGTGTTGTTGTGTCCATGACTATCAAACCTGTGAGCCACTGAAACACCACCCGTCATGGATGCAAAGACAAACAAACAAAAAAAAAAGATAATCAGCTGGTATTTGTTACTCACATAACAGATTGGATTCAAAACTAATTGGAGATTCATGTACAAGTTTATTGTAAGTTAGTAAAAACACCAGAAAGTCACAAACCTAAATAGAAGATCTACGTCAAAGTGATACCTTTTCTCTCAGCCTCTTCCTGATCATGCTCTGAAGGACTTGTGGTTTTGTGTTCATGATTCTCGTGTCCTGGTTGATCAGACTTATGAAAAACTAAAACAACCAGAGTAAAAAAAAAAGCAACTTATGTTTTCTTTTTAAAAATGTTTTTCAACTGGAACATTAACTTCGTCTTTTAATAGAAGCGTATCAACTTTGCATTGATTGCGTTAATGCATCTTTCATTTCTGTTTTTTCTGTGTTCAAATGAAGTCATAACTTTTTTTTCATTCATTCATTCATCATTTATTTATACAGGTTTGATTGCCATGTCCATGTTGATCAGACTTGTGGGAAACTGGAACAAGTGGGGGTTCTTGCAAAGATATCACATAAACAACTAAAATAAATGTATGCTTTCTCTTTTTTTAAAGACCCATGCATGTTTTCATCAAAACTATTCTGACGTAGTATGATTATTACAAACAGCAACCTAAATATATAGTTTACTTTTACTGGCTATACAGAACCCATAAATTATAGACAAACCACTACCTACATAACAATACCTTCTCTTCCTTTATCCACCTCCTCTTGCCATTTTCTTCCGTATAACTCGGATGAAGTTGTAGTTTTGTGGTGATGAATTTCATGCGTGTGTCCGTCAAACATGTGGGGAACTGTCACAGCACAGCCATCATTGTTACAAGAAAGCAGACAGTGAGACGCATCTCTGCCATCTTTATGTAAACACTCATTTTGGCTTTTCTACAATGCTAATTTGAGTTATCTATTTAGGTGGCACTACATTGGTTTTAAAGACAGTACCTGTTTTGTCCTCATGCTCAGATGAAGTCGTTCTATGATCAGGAGATTCGTGTCCCTCAGACTTGTTGGGAACTGTTACATCACAACAGGCAAACATCAAATTAGTTTATTTTGTTACCTTTTCGTTAGCTATAACAACAAACCAACCAGGCCACGATTTATTGCATTTTCTCTATTTTTAAAATAAAGCAAATAAGGCAAACTCTACTTACAAATCTTTATATTGCCGGAAAATTCACATACAATTCTGTGGTTCATTGCAAGTGTTCCAGCCGTGGATAGCTGCAGCACTTTTGGTGCAGCCTGTGGCACTTGCGGCAAAAATTAAAAACATTTCTGTTGGAATAACTGTTGTGGAGAGAGTTTGGCGTAATTTTGATTAATTATGAGTTATGCTCATAATTCTATTAAACTTTGGCAGCACGACGGCTCAGTGGTTAGCACTGTTGCCTCACAGCAAGAAGGTCCTGGGTTCAGTCCCTGGTTGGACCTTTCTATGTGGAGTTTGCATGTTCTTCTCGTGCTTACGTGGGTTTTTTCCGGGTACTCCGGTTTCTTCCCACAGATCAAACGCATGTATGTTAGGCTGCCTTCATGCCCAGGCCTCCCTTGCACAAGAGATCTGCGATCTCAACGGGATTTGCCTGGTTAAATAAAGGTTAATAAACTATTGGAGCACTATCTCATTAGAAGAAAATTAATTTTATGAAGTATTCATGAATCAGTCTCTTAAACCCCCAAAACATAAATCCTGTTCCCCTTTAAAAGAACTGTTTTTATTAAACACACACATACTAAATGATCACAGATTCAATGGTGAAATTCTGTGTATTTTATTACAAAAATATATTAATCAGTGTGTTATGAATATGGGCAACCTCATACTATTAAAATAAAGTAAAATAATATAAATGTGTGACATTATAATGGTGTTTATCAAAATGACTGAGGCAGATGTTAGGCGATGTTTGTTTTTTTCTGGTTTGTGAAGGAGTTAAAAATATGTCTAAACTGAACTGTTTTTTTGTCTGATAATTATTGTGATGTCAGGTCACCAACAATCAGATGAAACCACAAGTTTTACTGCCTTCAAACAGCCTCCAGTAGATACCAGGCATGTGTGCAGCAGGTGCATTAAGCAAACTCCCTGGGGTTACCTGTGGAAGATCATAGTCTTCCCTCTGGACCTGGTTCTGGTGAATAGCTGTCCTGGATAAGTTACTCACAGTTGCTCACACTGGGAAGATGACTGGCTGTGTGAACGTCCGTCACCTTGGGTCTGGTTCAGCAAGTCAGGATTTGTGGGTCTGGACTTTGGCCTAGAGGTCCCATCAACTTTCATTGAAACTTGGCTTCAAAATTTGAACTAATTTGAAAGTTAAAATAAAATTCCAATGTTTAAGTTAGATTTTCTTTATGCTCCATCTTTTTTCTCATCATCTTCTCTGACAAGACACTGGCAAGAACTGCAACAAAACGTAACTCTCTGCGAGTTAGAACACATCCCCTATTGGTTCACGCATGAGAGGAGGGGCGTGGCTGTTAACTTTCATCCAATCAGAGGTCATAATGCCGTCTAAGGCAGTTCTGAAACTTACAGTAGACCGTCTTCGCTTTCATACATAAACTTATCTAATTAAATCTAAAATCCTTAGTTCTGCCTTAAAAAATCCAATTCTAAATGAAATATATATATATTTTTTATCTTAAGAAAGATTACTCAAAACACACTTTTCATGGATAAACATTCAAGAAGGACATATTTTAGTCAACCTTAAAAACATGCAACGTTTCTAACAGAGGAGGCGCTGTTGGACCGTGGGTCTCCAGCAATGGAAATTAATTAGTGAACAAAGGCTTCTTATTTTGTTATCTTCATGGGAATGAGAGTCTGGGAAAGTACTCCTTTTGGATAAGGAGATATATCAAACCATCGGTTTGGGTGTTTCAAAACTCCGAGGTCAGGTTCATACAAAGGTCCTGTAGAAAATATCTCTCAGGTTCATAGAAAGGCCTTTCAGGTTACTGAGTTCATTTGGCAGGTTTAAAAGGTTAGTACAGAATGATGGTCTTTATTATGTATTATTGTCAAGGATGAGTGGAATGGACAAATGTCTTATTTTAACAGTTTCAAACAAAAACATATTCTTGGTTTCTCATTCTGTGGTGTCCCTCTACACTGTGTAATGTGAAATCATTGGCATCAGATGTAGTGACATTTTTCAGATTAGATTAGCTGTGAGCTCATCAGTCCGGTCAAACCCCCCCCCCCCAAAAAAAAAAAACGAAACACATTTCTCCAAACTGAGGCCATTCAAAAATCTATCAAATACAAGTATACGTAGTATAATAATAATGTTATGTATTGTCATCATTGCATGTTCCCATACAATGGCAAAATTGGCCCTCTGCATTTAACCCATCTACCACCAGGTGGTGCAGTGGGCAGCTATTGAGGGCACCTGGGGAGCAATCGGGGATAGGGTGTGCTGCTCAGAGACACCATGAGATGTGCAATGACTGAGGATTGACTGGGATTTTTGGGTCCCGTGTCGGCAGCCCTGCCTCTACACCATCTTGTATTAGTCATTCATAATGATTCCACAGAATTTAAGATTATGTTTGAAGAAACAACAAACTACAAGACCATCTCTACCCCTAAGAGCCAAACAAGATATGTTTGCATTATTTATTTTTTTATTATTAACCTTTATTTAACCAGGCAAATCCTATTGAGATCACAGATCTCTTTTGCAATGGAGGCCTGGGCCTGAACGCAGTCTAACATGCATGTTTTTGATCTGTGGGAGGAAACCGGAGTACCCAGAGAAAACCCACGCAACCACGAGAAGAACATGCAAACTCCACACAGAAAGACCCCAGGTCCTATTGAACAAAGGACTTTCTTGCTGTGAGGTAACAGTGCTAACCACTGAGCCATTGTGCATTCAGCCCCTCTTCCCTGTCCCCTGATGAGGATCTTTTGTGACCCTAGATCTCATGTTGGTGGTCTCCCAGAACAGCAACTGGCTTCTGTATTTAGCAAACAATCAGCAATATTCTGCAGACAATGACAAATTTCAGTTTTCTTTTATGTTTTGGGATTTTACCAAACATTCGCTTATTCTCAGACACACTTTGGATTTCTTTAGTTTGTACAGTAATCTGATTTGACAAGTTATCTCATTTAAGAGATCTCTTACATGTTTTCTGTCCGAGTGAATTCTTAGAATGAAAACTGCTTAATAAATGCTACATAGATGTACCTTTTCTGCCAGTGTCTGTTTGTGTGTGCTCCTCCGCCTCACCATGAGCAGAGGTGGTCGTTGATCTGTGGCCGTGAACTTCATGTCCATGCTCCTCAGACTTGTGGGAGACTGACACATCACATATTCAGGACTTATCAAAGTTTAAATAAATCTACTGTTTCTGTTTTAGATGTATACTATACATTTACTGTAAGTTCAAGCATTATTTGCTGCACTTTTCACCTCTACGTATTCACTACAGCTTTCTTTCAGGGAAAATACCTGTCCCATCAGCTGTTCTTCTCTCATGTCCCTCCTCACTTTCCTCCTCATACTTTGAAGAGCTTGTTGATTTATGACTCCCAACGTGAGTATGTCCTTTAGATGAATGCCACAGTTAAGAATGGCGAACAAATAAAAATTGGACACATTTCCAGTTCAATATGTTCATCATTTTACCATACCAAAATGTTGTAGCAGTACATTTTAAAGGTTAATTAGCACAGAGCTATTTGACACTGTTATTTCATTATCCCACAAAAAAGCTTGCTTTGTTTTTGTACAAGTAATTACATTGTAATGACTTTTGTTATAACAGAAGTGCCAACCCAACACGTGTGGATAATATCTAATTGAACAAGTGAGACACCAAACAACTGTCTTCATTTAGGGATGTTCCAAAATAAGAGAGTTATCTTCAGCTAACGCAGTTCAGACATGGATCCTCATTAGCAAACATGATCCTGAATTTAAATCTGACATCAGAGTCAATCTGGTCAACAAGATACAAGATACTTTATATTTATTCCAGGAAACCCACTAACATTTTTATGTTTTCAAAATATGTTTTTGACATAATTTCAAAGGTCATTCTCTATTATTTTGTTAAATACAATAGTAAAATATAAATCATCTGTATCAACAATTCTTTTTTTTAAGTGAGGGAGCTCTAGCTGTTTGTTCTTACATCTAAAGGACAAGTTAGAACTACAATTAATCTAATGTATGTTTTTGGATGGGGGAAGGAAACTGGAGAAACCCGAGAAAACCCACTTATCTATGCCGAGAAATACAAACTCCACACACAACAGCCCTGCTGAGTTTTGAACCTACAACCTTATTGCTGCAAGTTTTTTTTTTTATCTATACAAGTCTGTGTTTTAGTTTTCTCATTTTCCACCGTCAAACTGTAATTTTTCTCAACATGCTCCTTTTACAAAATACGTTATTAATCCTCAATGGGGCAATTCATTTTCTGCATTTTTCCCATCGCACATTAGAGCTGTCATTTCTAAACCGGGCCGGGCCGGGTCGGGCCACAATAATGTGCTTGATGGGCGGCCCAGGTCGGTGTCGGGCTTTTGATTGCATCAGCGGACATGCACGGTTGACAATCCAATTTGGATCACGAGCCGCGCGCGACCGATTGACCGCGTGCTGACCGGCCGGTTGAATGAGTTTTTTAAAAAGTTCAGTTAAGCTTCAGATGGCTTACTGTCCGCGATGCATCCGAAACCCAACTGGACTCAGTCGCTGCATCAACAGACGCGAATGGCCGAGCCCGGCAGGTTGAAAGAGGTAAAACAAAAGTCCAGATGGATCACTGGCAGTGACCCACCTGAAGCTTAACTGGACTCAGCCGCTGCGTCAGCCGCTGCGTCAGCGGACACGCGTGGTCGATGACCCAATTTGGATCATCAGCCGCATGCGTCCGCCAACCGTTAATAACTATAATAACTATAATAATCCGCTGATTCTTGTTAATAAACAAGAACTCTTATATCTTCCTTTCTTTGAAATATGTTTTTAAAACCATTATGTCAAACTGATTTGCTTACAAAAGCACTAAAAGATTAATAATTTTTTTTTTTCATTTTTTTTTTTTTTTTCGGGTTCGGGCCTCTAATTACAACTAGTTGGTCGGGTCAGGATGGAAAACAATGGCATGGGTTCGGGCCAGATTTTTTAGGCACGAATGCAACTCTATCGCACATGTGAGCAGAGGCTGCCATCTAAGAGGTTAAGTGTCTTGCTCAAGGGCCTACAGGCAAATAAGGATGTGTCTCAGGTGTGGGTGTGGTATTGTTCACAACCCCTCTTTGATGCAAAATCAGGGGATTCAAACCAGCGACCTCCTGATCACAGGCTCGTTTTCTCGAAAACCCGGTGCCACCACTCCCCAGCACTTATTTGAAACTCTTGGTTAAACAAGTGAATATACATCTTTCTGAAACAAACTGATAATTTTACCCCAAAACTCAATGAAAGTAATATAAATAATAATAATAAATAATATAAATAATCTAAACCAGCTGATTTCTGAGCTACTTTCTCCATAATGGCATGTCCTAGATCCAAAAACAGCTCAAATAAATCTCTTATTTCTCTTACAACACAGAAGATACAGACCCTGTGTCACTGCACATTCTCTTTGCGTAACAGGGATTTTGTGGAATCAAACACTTTTCTGTTTTGCTTAAAATAATATTGAATGGGCACCAGAACTGGTTCTCATGCACACACAATACTTTTCCATTCACACCCAATACCTAACTTATTCGTTTTTCACCACTAGGGCTCCATTTTTTAAGCCTCTCGTCCAACATTTTAACATTTCCCATCCAGCAATGCTGCAACCACTAATCTTTGTCTAAAACACATCTGCATGAAACACAAATTGGGATATATCACATTTAAATCTATCGTATATTTAAATAAAATGCACCTACTCTTATCACATCTATGAGAGATACTTTTCTTTTCAGTGTTTTTTTTTTAGTGTTTTAGTGATTGTGGAAGTGTGTTAAGTTTTATTACATTTATTGCTTCTATAAACTACAGCTGCTACAGTCCATTAAAAATAAATGCCTTTTCTCACAGTTTGTTGTTTTTCACCCTCCTCCTTTCTCTCTCTGTTCAGATGAAGTTGTGGGTTTATGGCTGTGTCTCATGCGCAAGTTCCTCAGACCTGCGATGGTCTGATACAGACCAATATAACGTACTAAAAAAAGGTAAAGTTTATCTGCTTTGTCAGAAATCTATTGAGTTTTACTTCATCCTGTTGTCTGTGTTTCATTTCAAACCCGTCAGCCTCTGCCACTTTTCCAGATGAAGCTATGATATGATGCTCTTGGTGTCAAAAATTTAGATTTTTTATTTTTTATTTGAATGACAGAGTATCTTGTGCCTGAAGAGACAAATTTATAAAAATTTGACCTTAAGTTTTTACAGCTTGGGTTTTCACTCTAAGCTGTCAAGTTTCATGATAAAACTTTCATCCAAAGGGCTCCACTAAAGGTAAAATACTGAAATCGACTTCTAGGTTATCTTGAAATACATGTAATTTCTAATCTTTTCTCTCTTTCCTCTTCCTCCCTGCTCAGAGGAGCTTGTTGCTTTGTGTCCATGACTCTCATGTTCAGACTTGTGGGCGACTGAGAAACCACAGTCATAGTTAACATAACGAGAACAGACATCTTGTGGGGTATTTTACAAGCGATTTCCTCAGCTGCCTGAACAATGAGAACTTTATAATTAGGCTGATGCTGCAGTGGGTAAAGATTACTGATAATGTCTTCCCTTCTTCCGCTGAGACCTTCCTTCCTTCTTTTCTTTCTTTCTTTCCCTGCTCTTTCTGTCAGATAGTGGATTGCCCCATCAGGGGCCTCAGCCCTGAGCTTGGGAAAAAGCTGTGAGAGTCAGCGAGGCTTGAGAAACTCCTCCATCGCTACGTTTTCACTCTGGGTGTGAAAGAAATGACACACAGTTGCTTTTATGTGAACGTCATGAAATAACTGTGTGCTGTTTCATTCCTTCTCATGTACAGCCCAAGGACCTGACATTGCCTTTATGCTTAGTATTTCATTTGTTTCTAAATGTTCAAAATTCATACCATTCTGTGACTTTCATAATAGTAGTTCACCACTGAAGGGCAAAATTGTTTTTGTTTATTTCGTTGTGTGTGTCTGATAATGAAATGGCACATGAATCTAACTTTGTTAAAACTCTCAGAATTTTATCTTTTTGTTTACAACTACAATTGATTACCTTTTGGAGACACATTGACTTAATATGGCCGCCACAGCCAATAAACAGGAAACATACAAATTACTCTGTTATTTTACAGATTTGGAGCTTAAATATAGTATGATAGTAGCTGAGAGTAATTCACAACACATACCCTGAGGTCTACACACAGAGCAACATTTTTGGTTAAAATATTCACATTAATTGTTCCAGTCAACATTGTTTGTCTGTTAGCAATATAGCTCAAGAGCAACTAGTACCGTACTTGCCGCCGAACAAGTCACACCGCCATATAAGTCACATCAGTTCAAATATGTCTAATACATGGAAAAAAAACCCATAAATAAGTCACTGCCGTATAAGTCGCATCTATTATGTGTCACCGCTGACACGTCATATTTGTTATGTGTCACCTCTGACACGTCGCATTTGTTATGTGTCACCACTAACCATCCGGAAACGTGGGCCGCGTTGTGCCAAAAATCGATTGACTGCCAAATGGTGACCGCAGGAGCCTGCACGAGAGGACTTTAACAAGAATTTAACAAGATTAATACTTAAAAACAATTATTTGTTTGCTCGACATTATAGTAAAGGTGTGTCTCAGTTTAACTTTTCCTTAATAAATGAACTATATCGGTGAAATCAGCTGCATTTCAAAAATCGATTCGCGGGAGCGTGCAGAGGGAAGACTCGCTGTGCATTTCGTTGACATTTAACAAGATAATCGCCTAAAACCTTTTTTTTTTGCTTGACTTTATAGTAAAGGTGTGTCTCAGTTGAACTTTTCCTTTATAAATGCACTTTAATGTTTGAATCAGCTGTATTTCGCCTGGGCGGCGCAGCAAAATGCGTTTGCGCCAGGAGTTCCAGAGCGAGATGAAGGTGGCTTGGTATGGCAACACAAGTGTCTCAGTAATAGCCACTTTAACCTATTAATGAGACACTTGGCTTGCCATACTAATCGAGGGCCCTCTAGCAGCTGAAAATGGTAGTGTTCAATATTTTTCATGTCAGAATGAATGAAATTATCAGACCTCAGCCAAAAATTGGGTTCTAAATATGGGGATAAAACAAAAAGTCTCATCGACGTATAAGTCACAGAGCACGCAAATTTATGCAAAAAGGTGCGACTTTTATGGCGCAAAGTACGGTAATCATTTAATGCACATATAGAATTGATCACCGTTTTGATTTTATCTAATTAAGGTTGACCACAACTGCTAGTTGACCGACATTTAGTGAGTAGCTGAGAGTTAACTCTGAGTGCTAACACAT